GGGTGGGTGATGGGAGCCTGGCCTGGTGTTTTGCACTTTATGAAGCATTTCAGTGTGGACAGACAGACCAGTCGCTTGTACGTGACACCTGTAGGTGACACAAACCCCGACTCCCAAACCTTTCCAAGTCACACCTCACTGTTCAACATGGCATCTCTTCACCCACAGCACTCAGGTGGAATCAAAGGCACAGCTTGGGATGGCAGAGCTGGCTTTGGGAGAGGTTCATTAATTACTCAGGTTGCCTCGAGCCCTGTCGCACTGCCTGGTCATGAATGGCCCAGCCTGGCTGGGTCCACCTCAGGAATCAGAGCTGTACTTAACATCATTTCAACCCAGAAAGAGCAAGGGGACTACAAAAGGGAAGACCGAAAGAGCTCAGCATCCAGCCCCAGCAGGACAGGGGCTGCAGCCCTTGCTCCTCCGCTGGCACAAAATCAGAGATCCCAGTGACACCAGCCCCACGGGGGCACTGAGGGACATGGCTGGGACTTCCTGGCTCAGTTTAGAAAAGGAGAATTCCTCCCCAGAAACAAAAGCAGCAGGCAGCACGTGTACTCAGCCAAATGGACTGTCAAGAGGAATTATAATCATTTATTGAAGTATTCTAATTACAGGTTTGAAGTGTGTTACACATTTAATGACTTTGTTTATGAAATGTGTGTGTATATAAATAAAATGTTGGAAATCTGAAATTAGTTTCCTGTTGTTTTCTCTGGTCAAGCTCCAGGGCTATGCTGCAGCTTTACACAGAACAAGGTGTCTTTAAAAACAAAAATAAAGCCAAAACATTGCTGCTAGAGATGTAGTCCAGGTCTGAACTTACCTGGAGCACCCTCCTCTTCCTCCCCAGGCTCAGGTGGCCACTCTCCATCCACTGACAGCTACATGAGCAGTGGCAAAACTGCTGGCAAAACCCTTCTGTGATACCACCATCCCAGAGCACCTCCATGGACAGCCATTATCCCACCTGGCAGGAACAGCAAAGGTCTCCTGGCAGAGCTGTGACAGAGATGCACCTGCACCATGAGGTTGATACACCAAGGCTGGGGCTTTCCACACTGCCTTGTGTGTGAAGAGACAAGCGAATCCCCAGGCTTGGGGGATCTTTCTCAGTCTGTTCCCTGTTTTCATTCCAGTTGTGGCTGTGTTACCTTCTACAGAAAGCCCCAGTGCTCCCATGTTCAAAGGCACTGCAGGACAGGCTTGTGCCTGTCAATACCCACACGCTGCCCCTGGAGACAGTAACAGCCCGGAGTTATGCTGATTACTCAGCTCCATCTGGACTGTGACACGTTTCCTGCTCTCCACACCACACCTGGCAACCTCCCTGGCAAGAGGACTGGCTGGGCATCATATCACAAATCAGTACCTCAAGTCGGCTGCATACAACCAAATCAGACACCCAGAAAGGCCAATCAGAAGCCAAAAAAGTGTTTTTTTTTTAAAAGCACTATTTTGTCATTTATCCACTTGAGTGTTGATCTTCTACTTCAACATATAAACAGAACACTGGAGCCCTCATTCTGCAAGTCTCCAGATAAAACTTCCACACAGAGCAGTTTAAATCAAGTGTTAAGTCAAGAATCATTAGTAGGACAACGATCAGACTTTAACTCCAACCTGGAAGTGTTCTAGTAAAGGACCCGAGTCTCCAAGCAAGGGCAAAGGAACCGTTTTCCCCCAGTCAGGTCGCCCGTCCCAGGGCAGTGCCCACCTCACCGACCCTGCCTGGGACACCCAGCCCTGCTCAAACCCCCTGAGCCTGGTCCCTAGGGATGCCAGAGCAGCCCAGGAGTACAAAGGGAAGGCAGCATGGTCCTTGGAACGATTTTAGGAAAGAAGCAGGTTAGCAACTGGAAGTGGCAGCTTTAGGTCCAAGTCGTGCCTTTATTAAACCAGAGGTGTGGCTACGCAAACCCATCACCGTGGGCAGAATTGTTACAGCTCAGGGTGGTCCCAGCTCCTCCAGTTGCAAACACCATGTATTCCCACCAATTTCTGACATTGCAGGAGAATCCATGTCCTTTCCCACACCCTGCTAATCCTTGCATTGGTTCATCACTCTTGTTCCCTCCCAGCACCACTGGCATGCACTGGCATCACTGCAAGATGAACTTTCATGCTCCGACCCAGCCATTGTTACATTCCAAAGCCAATTTGCACCATGTGTTTCTGACTTTTTCCGCTTGACCATCTTTTCCAATGGATCAGATTTTAAAAGATCTAGTCCTCTAGATCTGGTGTGACAGCAGAAGCAGGAAGAGGACAGAAAACGTTCGTAAGAGCAAGCTCCTTACTCATAAGCTACTTGGGTTTTCCCAAGGCAAAGTCCATCCTGGCGATGGGAATGCCTGGGCACCACCACAGGCAGGCTAGACCTCTTGAGGCAGAACCTAGATGAGACACTATTAACCTAAGTGGTTTCATTTCCATGTGTTTTCAGGACATTTTTTTAAAAGAGCATGAAAATAAACCTTTATTTCAGTTAACACCCACCAATATTAAAGATAAATGTTCACAGTTTTAGTTCTTGACACAAATGGACTGAAAGAGGCAAATTTACATCTGTCAGAACAGCAGAAGGACCATGTGTAAGTACAAGCTGTCTTGAAAATCACACATGAGGTGCTGTTTGGGACTGTTCTGTGCTACATGGCAGGAGAAGGGAAAGCCGCTGGCTAAATCCAGCTTGCAGGGTCCTAAATCCCTGCCCAGAATCATCTGGGAAAAAGCAGAATGGCAACTGGAATGGCAAATACATGGTTTGGATAAGGGGAAGGAAGCCTATACTCCAGAGAAAGCTTTGCTCTAAGTGTTTCTGCATAAAGGTATTAGTTGTGTTATCCAAGGTGTTCCCAGTGCTGGAACTGCAACACATCCCATCAAATCACAACGGCAGAGGGAAGAGGAACTACTCCATGCTGGACCTGCCCCACACTGAGTACAAGGTCAGGAGAGCTGAACCAAGAGATTTTACCACCCTCCTCCTCACGCCCTGGAGCTTTAAATACAGGTGAGTGCACTGAACAACCAGATCAATGATTATCCACAGTGGTTCACAACACAAGCGCTTGTAGAAAATTGCTCAGGAAAAGCAAGCCAGCCACTAACATCACAACTGAGGAGGTTGGGATTTCATATTCAAAGGTCTCCAACACTTCTTGCCAGTCCTGTACAGTTTTTAAAAAAATAGGGTGTTACCTTTAGTTTTCTATCTACCTAGTTAAGAAACTACAAATATGTTCTAAGCTGTCCAAAGAGTAAAACGTGAAATAAAGTGGGAAATCTGTTCCTGATCTCCTAACAAATGCTGCAGATAAAACTCCTAGGAAATCCTCTTCATTAGTCATTTGTTCAACTCCTTTTGTGTGTGGTGACGTTCCTGCTCACAGGGATGAAAGTAAACCTATGGTGAACTTTCAGAGGGGGAGAAGGGGTTTCTCACAATCACTCTCAGAAAAACATTCACGGTGATCCACCAAACAGATCTTGAGCACTGCACAAAGCCAGGGCTAAATTCTGATGGAGAGCTGAAGTGCTGGGAGATGATGAGCCAAAAATCCCTCCTGCCAGAGCCAGCAAAGGCCTGGGGTTCCTTCCCCAGAAGACCTGGGAGCAGTGCTGGGAGTACAGCAGGTACTGATGTACCTGTGTGCCAGACGGTGCTGCTCAATCCCACATCCCACCTGAGTCCATGTGGACTACAGAGCCACAGCTACTGCCTTCCCCCACCTCCCAGCTCCAAGGACAGGAATTACCCCCATCTCAGGCTATCCCAGCTCCCACAACAGGAATTACCCCAATCTCAGGGTATCCTCTCAAACAAAAAGCAAAGGTAATTTAAAAACTCTTCTTTTTTTTTTTTTTTTTTTTTTTTTTTTTTTTGCCAACAAAGCATCTTGTTCTGTTGAAGGAAGGAGGAGGGAGTAAAGGTCAGAAGGGTGAGTGAAGGTGGGATACATTAATTTTAAAAACCTGGTTTTCAGACCAATTACCCACACATCATTCTGGATCAATACAGGTATTGAACTACAAACCAATGTGCTTTCAATCTTGATTTCAAGTATCTGGTATCAATTTTGTATAAAGGTTTTGTGTAAACAAACTACCTAACAGAGATGAAAAATTACTGGTTTTCCATGTTTGAAATTAGGCATTAAAACTAAAGTACTCCAGGAGTTCATTCCATACAGCACTAACAGTCTGCCAAATTTGTATTCCACATATTCCAAAAGACCACGGGCTGAGAAAAATCTGCTAAACAGGAATTAAGGAAATGGAAATAGTGTGGAATACTTAAAACCCAGTTTGGAGTTGGGGGAAAAAAGTCTAAAATCCTGATTTAAAAAAATGAACACAAATGAAGGGAAAGCTTTTAACTGGTACACACTGTTCACACCTATATTTCAAGTTTGGAAACGCATATTTTCAAGCAGCAATACAAAAAAGTATCCATGAAGAATGCATAATCTCTGAAAAAATTATGAAAACATCCCTGCTACCATTACATTTCTAAATACAAAACTGACTACCATATTGTTGCTTCTGTGTAGCGAGAGAAGTTCATTTTCAAAACAGATAAAATTCAGTCTTTAGGTGTGAATGGTATGAATGACAGTCTTTTTTTTGTTTTGTTTTGTTTTTTTAAGTTTCTTAGTTGTTTTAGGATCCTTAAGCATGCAAGCCTCGGAGAGGAGGGCCCGACCAGGGCAGGGTTGGCTTATGACATCCAGTTTAGGACAGAGCTGGGAAAGCCTCTGGGTCATCTACGTCAGGAGCAGAAGCACTTGACTGAAAGAGAAACATCAGAGTTATTACCTTGGTTTAGAGGTGCACAGCAGAATGAGAAGTCTGGAGCTGGACAATGTAGTACAAAAGCAACTTTTTAAATCTATTTCAAGGATCAGAAAGTCTCTTATACTTCTGGAATCAAAACTATCTGAAGAGGAATTGTAGGCAACTCTTCCTCCATCATAGAATCCTGGAATGGTTTGGGTTGGAAGGGACCTTAAAGACCATCTACTTCCAACCCCCTGCCATGGGCAGATCCCTACCTGTGAGCTCATGCCATTTTACTGGCACAGAGCCATCAATCCTTCCTGAGGGACATGACTGAAGTGTTACACAAAAGGCCTATTTGTAGCACAAATTAAGTTACCCACTTTTAATTCTTCCCAAGTCACAAACTACATGTTGATAGAAAGAATTTTTGTGCCAACCTAGCCCTAAACATTCATACATTAGCCAAGAATGTCCTGAGTACGCCCCAAAAGAGTTTTTTAAAAGGCTCTGAACCACATGTAAAAGCCAGTGCTGCAGTGAAATGAAGAAATTAAGTATTTCAGGACACTCTTCATTTTGTCCATGAGGGATATGGATGAGTAGAGTAAGAAAAACCAATATAGTAGAATTTCCTGTCATGCTATTAATTTATGAAGGAATACATTTAAACCATTTCAATAAAAGTTGTATCAACACCTATAGACAAGACTAAGATTCTGTCTTGCCTAGCTAAGACTCTGTGGGCCACAAACCAGAACTAAAAAGTAACAGCAGGGTTTTAAGCTACAGCCTCAGCATCTTCTGTTGCTCAGCACACAACAGAAAGCCAGTCAATAAAAATGAGGGGTTTTGGTCCTTGACCACAGGGAACACACGTGCAGAGATCACCAACCTGGTTGGGCGTGTGGATCACGTCAAACTCCTTAACCAACTGGAAGGAAACAAAGGCAACATAAAATCAGGTGCAGAAAAGCTTTGAACTATTTAATGTCAATGTTCTTTAAGAATATCAGTGAAACAACTCAGAGTAAACCACCACTGTTTAATTTAAATTCTTTAAAATACTCTTATATTGGTATCATGAAGGAGTTTCCCAACTAATAAGCTAAAACTCACAGAAAAAACCCTCTGTGTCTCCTGTAAGAGACAAAAATGAGCAAGTCTGATCTGTGTGAAGCCACAGCACACAGGCTGAGCTCATTTTCAAATTAGTAACAATTTGATTAGATGCCTTTGAGCCAAATAAGTGATCCATATTAAATCAAATCTTCTCAGTAGTTACACTACAGTACCTCAACTTCATACATTCTTTCCCAGACCCCAGTCAGTACTTTTCCAGGATACTTCCCTAGTGCTTTAGCACCAGAGAATGAAAATAATTACTGAAGGTTAGAGAAAAAACAGCGAGTCCTATTTCCCCATGAAAAATCTAAATTCCTCAAATTCAAGATATGACATGCAGCTGTAAAACCAGTCTGTCACCCCCAACAGGTCACAATGCACAGAAAGTGTCCTGACTGTGTCTAAAAATAACCACTCCAGCACGTGGGGTTCTGCTCTGGCACAAACTGAAGCAGCTCATGGTACATGCAGGTCTGTCCATCCTGGAAAGTCATTTTTCAGGTTCAAACACAAAGACAGGTGCTTTTTTTAATTCAGCCTACTCCCCACCCTCCTTTTTTTGTGTTTAATGACAACTCTGCTCAAACACTCAATAACCTTGTTTAAAGTAAGCTTGTAAGAAAAGACACTTCAGCTGGTTTAGAAACATGCTGTTTGCTGTCAGGGCATCTCCCCCAGAAATAAGGAAAACACCTAAAACTACCCTTAGGAAAATCCCAACAAGAGGAACTCAACCCCCGTGTGGGTGAAGCTGCAGCGCTCACCTTGTCAGTCCTGCCTCCACGGCTGGCCCTGCCTCCGCGCCCTCGGCCCCCCCGGCCCCCTCTGCCACCGCGGCCGGGGCGGCCCAGGTCTCCAAAGTTGATCTCCAGCTGGGATGTGATGTCATTCGCGGGCTTGCGGAAGTGATGATCCATTACAGAGTCCTCAGCATGAGCCTGGAACAAGGGTTTCTCCATGAGCAAGAAAAATCACCAAAAATCACCACCTTTTCTGCACCTGTAGCTGCGCTCGTGCCACCACAGCCCATGCTCACCTCCAATCCCACTGGAAAACTGATCATCCACTTCTCCGAGTGATCCAAGAAACTTGGAATTTCTCATCAGAAATCAAGTCATACCACTTGTGCAGACCACAAAACTCCACACAGGGAAGCAAACAAGCACTTGAGCAAAGGTGTTTTGCACTTCCAAGGTATTTCAGGAGTACCCAGAACACTGAGGTTGGAAAAGCCCTCCCAGCCCATTGAGTCCAGCCTGTGCCTGATCCCCACCTTATCACCCAGCCCACAGCACTGAGTGCCACGCCCAGTCCTTCCTTGGACATCTCCAGGGATGGGGACTCCATCACCTCCCTGGGCAGCCCCTTCCAGTGTCTGACCACCCTTTTCGGGAAGAAATTCCTCCTGGAATTCCATCAGAAGAACATGTTTAGGCTCATCCAAGACCAAACTGACTATCACCAAGCCACTACAGAACCTCATGTTCTAGCAATTCTCACTTTGTATCCTGAAAAATATTCTGGTTCTATCAATTCATTCCACTCTTTTTCAATACTTGGTCATCCATCCTTATTTTGCTCCATGAGGATTTACACTTTGTTAGTCCTAGTATAAATATTTAAAACCAGGAGTTGCTGGGAATCCCTCATTGTAACAGCAAACGAGGCACAAAGAGCTCAAACACACATAACTAGAGAAAATAAAACACAGAGAGAAAGACTCTCACCAATGACCCTGGAAAATATGGCTCTTGGCACCTTTGCCATGATATTCTCTGACTGGTTTGTTCCCAGTGCATTCAGGGGGAAACCTGAGCATTGGGGAACAAGTGATTGTCCCAAGAGATACATCAAATCCCATCAATGTGATTATTCAGCACATTTAAGTATTTCAATTGCACACTGAACTCAACCAGTGTTTCAAAAAGCAATTATTTTTTCTTATTTTGTAAAAAACATTTTTCCATGTGCAAGTCAGTTTTTGGCACTTAGGACGATACACAGAATCTAAAACTCTGCCTTGTGATAGGCTTAACCATCATGTTTTGGTAACATGACAACATACAATGTTTTCTTGCCCTCTAAGCCCCCAACTCCTGGCGCAGCAATTACCACTTACTTTGTTTCCCTACACAAGTGCCATGTGCAAGCTCAAGTCTCCCGCCTCCAATTTAGTTTTCTGGTGCAGTTACACAACATTATGACTTTCAAAGGCAACACATTGTGCAATTAAGCTCTGTACGCTTTCCTTACCATTTGTGGAACCTTCACAAGGCTGCCAAGGGATGGAGCAGTCTGGAGTCAAAGCTGCTGTCAGGGATTCCACAGGTCAGCCACAAGCACCACTATGGACAGAGCCTTAACGACCCTTCTCCATCCCCACTCTCACGATCCCTCTTCCTGCCCAGCTGTACATTTGCCCCCCCAATATCCTACAGTGCACAGCACTGCCATTTCATGGAATCATCACAGAATGGCCTGGATTGGGAGAGATCTTAAAGCTCATCCCATTCCACCCCCTGCCATGGACAGGGACACCTTCCACAATCCCAGTTTGCTCCAAGCCCCATCCAACCTGGCCTTGGACATTTCCAGGGATGGGGCAGCCACAACTTCTCTGGGCAACCTGTGCCAGGGCCTCATCATCCTCACAGGGAAGAATTTCTCCCCAATATCCCACCTAACCCTGCCCTCTGGCAGTGGGAAGCCATTCCCCCCTTGTCCTGTCCCTGCAGGCCCTTGTAAACAGTCTCTCTCCAATTTAATTAGGCACAATGAGAAATACCCTCCACGCTGCTTTATTTTCAACACATTCCACTGGGATGGACTCTACATAACAACTAGTCCCCACTGCACTCCTGATTTTATAGGTTTCATTGTACACCCTTCCCTCAGAGATCTCTGCCAGCCTTAGGAAGTTTGCCTGAGCAGTTATTTCCCAGAAAAAAGTCATTCCACACCTCAGCCTGACAAGGCACTACTCAAACCAAAGTACACTTTGTAAAACAGTACAAAATACCTCAGTTATGCTTTTTATTCCTTTCCTACTACTTCATTTTTTATCTACAGTTTTAATCACTGCAGGGTACTGACATTTTATTTTCATCTACTGGTAACCATGTGACATTCTCTTTTCTGAGCGATAATGTCAACGGATTTCTACAGTAATTCTGTGATTTTTCTTCCCTAGGCTGTTTTTGTTTAAAAACAAATCACTACAGTTTACCAAAAAACACTCTATTTTCACAACTTTAACCACCGAACCAACAAAAAGCAAATTCCACACATAACCTATTTCTCTATCCAGAGTAACTAAAGCTTATTTAAAACACCAACAAAAAACTTGGCACATTCTCCTCAGGCTCTTCAATCACTCAGGTGACAACAGACACAGACATACTGAACAAACTGCTTATCCTGAATAATCTTTGGAAATATTTCATTTCTATGTAGTGGTAACTCTCAATAGTGCTCTGATCTCATAACCAGTGCTGCACTTAAGGGCCTTGGGGAAGGCTGTCAAAAATTAAGAACAAATTACCAAGAGGGCCAAAGCAGGCAGTGAGAGATGTAAAAACAACAGCAACAAAAAAGACTCATGATAGAAGCATTTCTGGTCAGGTTTGAAATTGGGTGAACGAGGAGCAAGGGGACTAATCATGAAGGGTGCTGTGCACAGTGAGACAACAGGCATGGACAGAAGAGCTCCATAGTGAATCCACTTGTGTTCTCTATTTTGGTGAGTTTTTACTGTGCAAACTTTCCCTTCTGGAGGGGCTCATGTTAACACACAGGTATCCCCAGTTAGATAGAAAGGATCAGTACCTCATTTGAATCCAGCAGACTCCCCTGCATTTCTGTCATCGCCTTTGTCTGATGAAAGTTGCGTGTCCACGCCAAAGTGACAAAAGAACAAAGGGAGAAAACAAAAGGAAGAAATGAGACTCAACTACATACAGAAACAACAGGTAATCAGGTCACATGAACTCGCTGGGTACAGATGTCACTGAGCACACGAAGCAGCAAAGGGATGAGATGAAGCTGTGCAAGCACCCAAAGAGATTCAGAGGATGGATGTGCCACAGGGGTGGAGACAAGAGAAAGCTCAGATGGACACCAGGAAGGTTCACCAGGAGCTGCTGGGAGCCCTGGCACAGACCACACATGCAGGCTGGTCTCCAGCACCAAGGGGAGATGGGCAGGGAAGAGTGGGATGTTAAAATCACTGTTAATGGAAAAGCTTCCTGCAGAGCCTCCAGCCAAGAGTCGTTCCTCCAGATTTTGAGAAGATGAACTATTCTTTTACAAAATGTATTTCTCAGTCTCCCACTGCAACCTCCTCTAAGGAAGTGATCGGATTAGTGAGAAGCTTTGAAGGCACACGGAAGAGGCACAGCAGGTACAGAGAGCAACAACTGATTAGTGTATCAGTCTTTCCAGGAGTCCAGCCTTCAACTTTTGGAATAAATTTTAAGATCTGTCCACAATGAAACTCCTTCCTGATTTGTTTGGGGTTTTTTTTGTAGAAATTAAAGACTTAAGCCCTAAACCAGCTGCAGAGAAGTTAAAAAGAGGATCTCTCTTTTATGGCATAACCCAATCTCCTGGAAAGACACTCATCAGACCAGGGCTGCCAATGTCCATGGAATTCAGATTAAACCAGCAAGAATCTGAGACAGTATTGAGAATTCATTTTATCCAAAGTACCACTTTCTAGTAACTGCAGAGAAAAAATGAAAAAGAGGAAAGACCTCAGACATGGTCAAGCATTTCACCCCTCAGTGAGGAGCATGAGGAGGAGAGCTCTTTCCCAAGACTAAGGCAGATGAATAGCACTAGATCTTCAGGCTCCCTTTTCCCACAGACTCCTATGGCAATTTTCCAGTAGTTCTGAACTATAGGAACGAGGGAGCTCATCGCAATACGTCAATCCAAATTTATGAGAAAATCTACTGGGACACATGGTGGTTTTCAGCCATAAGAATACAGAAGATTTGGGGCTGAAAACCATAATTTACCTATAAACCAAATCACTTCCACACATCATCTCTCTTCTTACCAATAAGAATCACAGAAACCTTCGAGCAACCTAAATTTTGTGACTCATAAGTAAGTCCAAGAGGACAAAGAGAGGAAACAGCAGGTGACTGGTACGTTTTCTGAATATTCCACCTTCACAAAGGAGCTGCAGCAAAGGCTTTCCTAACAGAAAGCTATTACAGAGCTATTCTCCAATAATCCAGAAAGAAAATCCCCACACTGTTTCCCATGGGATCAGGGAACAATGGATAAGTGAGATGGGGAGACACATCTGCTGGACAGACAATAAAGCAGGCTAAAAGCATCTAAATTTAAAGGCAGATTTGTTAATACCTCACTTTCATGCTTACGAAGCAAGAGGCTGTTAACTTCTTATGTGACAGTGCTAAAAATATCCAACTTATTTATTTGAAGAAAAGTTAACCTTTCAAATGGAACAATCTACTAATCATGTCAGCTCTTCCACAGAAGTAAATTGATTATTCTAATTGGTTTGGTTTGGATTTGTCTGTTCTTTAGGGTTTTTTTCCTTGTTTTTTTTCATTAAGTGCTGATTCAGTTTTCAAATGGAAAATACAGTACGGATCTTTCTAGTCTCTAAATCACTCATGAGTACCATCATCTTATACTATCATATATGTTCATGTGCTAAAAAAGACTGTCCTCAGCTGACGAAATGTCAAATAAACCTGATTCAGAAAGATTGAGGGAACTTGAAGGACTACAGGTTTAGTAAATCTCAGTAAAGTACATAAATTCTTAGTACCCAGCAACATTAAGTGCAATTCAAATTCCCTTTTCTACACATGCCAGAAAAAACAGCATTTAATGAACACTTCATTAAACAGCTTAAGGAAAACAGAGACATGCAATCATTTAAAGGACTGAACTATCTCATACAGCAAGAAAATAGCCTGACTGTGATCAAGTCAAACTCAGAATGAGTTCAATGAGAACAGAAATTGAGTTTTCATTGGAAAACATCTCCCCATCTGTATTACCACCTAGCTCACAGGATAAGAACTGGCAAGGTGTGAAAAGGTAGGAATACATATTAGGAGACCAAGCAGAGTATTACATATTATCTAGTTACTTCAAAGGAGCCATAACCGCCTGTATACAAAGTTGCACCCACCAATCTCTTAAGTGAGCTACTTAACATATTACAGAGTGTTAAAAGCAAAGATTAAAACCGAAGATTAAGGCAGCCCTGCATTACAAAACAGAGCTCTGAGCACTTCCCTGCCTTGTACATCTCTCCTTGCCACTCTTGGAACAGAATAATTAACATTTTGCAATGTCTGAAATGAGTATGCTTGAGAAAACTTCAATTTTAAAACAATTCTATAGCAACTATGTTGAGTATCACTGAGGCACACAAATGTATTTCAGCTGGTTTCCCAAAAGCTTGTCTATATATCACAAAATGAGAAGACACTCATGTTAGAAATTCAAGATACACAGTTGAGGCATTAAGGTCTCTGAGGCATAACCAGTCTTCCCTCAATCTTACACTGTGTTTAGCAAGCACCATAACTTTGTGTATTGCTTAACAGAGACGCTAAACAGCATTAAATTTCCTTTATTAACAAGAAAACCTGACAACCTTTCTCTAAAATCCTCACCAAGAGGCAGTTCTTAGAGAGTTACCTGCCTAGGTGCAGCAGTAATCCAGGCTTATCTCTAGGTTATACCAGACTATATGTCAGCCTAAGAGTACAGCTCACCCAAAACCAACCACAGTCAGAATGGCCACTTGTGCCACTGCAGAACTTCAACTCTGCTAAAAGAATGTTGTTGCACTTCATAAACTTCCAGTTGCAGGTCAGTGTCTCACACAACAGTGCTTCCACTCCAAGAAATGCCTATCAATAACAAAGCCTTTATAAACTGGATACTACAAGCTTGGAAAGTCACTTTACCTCCTCGCTCTTTGACTTGTGAAGAACAAATCCTTTTTTCCATTGTCCATCAGCCCCCTCGTTTGGTTTACGGATGTTGAACTCAACTTTTGCACGATCCTTGCTCTGAATGGCTTTCCACTCGTCCAGGGTCATTTCCTTAGGGCCTTCTTCCTTAACTTCTTCAACCTCATTCTCTCTGCAGTAAATTCATGGATATTATGATCATGACCTAGAATTTATACTCCAAATACAACTCCAAAATCATCTGCTAGTTAGCTAGCACCAGATTATAAATTCCATTATAAATAGACATTTGTCAAGTATTTAGAAGTTAAGAGCTGTATGTATATAAACACACACTTGCACCACAGGAAAATTCATCTCCTTTAGCCAGAGTACAAAACCAAAAAAAACTACACCCAGTCACCTTGGAGCAACTGAATAGTGAGCACAGCAAAATGGTAAAATTAAAACTGACCTGTGCCATCAATTCTCCACATTAATGACAATTTTATTTATAAATATTAAAGACTAACTTCTGCAATGGACATGTTTGGAGCTTTACCTGTTTTTTGAAGCACACCTCTCATTAATATTCAAGTTAGGGCAGTGAGAACTTGTTCTTCCAAGAGTTTTCACGTTTTTTAGGGTTTTTTTTAAATAGAATTTAATAAAAATTGCTGAGCTTACTTCCTTTATTAAACCAATGACAATTATTTCAAACAAGTTTTACTTTCAGCTTATTTGAAAAAACAACAGCACACAACTTACTTGTGAGATACATCACCTCCGCCTTCTGCCAAAGAGCTATTTTTAAGTAAAACACACAACCACTATGCCCAGTAATAGACATTTTCCAGCTACACAGCAGGCCAAGCCTCTGGACACTGTTCAGTGTGTTTATGCAACTAAATTTCTGATTTATAGAAAACTAGAGCAGCAAAAAGATCATGAAAGCCTCAACCTCCAAGGTCTTTATTTGGTAGCCATCAATTTTGATGTTATAACGCAGAGATTTTATTTCAAAATTACTGTATTTCTTTTCTCATTGTGTAGGACAGAGTGATTTTTGACACTGTATGTAATCACAAGAATTTGTTTTGTTCAAGGCAAAGATATTACCTGCACATTTTACTGCAGAAAAACATCCTACAATTCTGCTGAAACATTTAGGGTAGAGATCCACACCAAATCAGCCAATTTGAAAAGTAACCCATGTAAAAATGCTTTACTATAAAGACAACTGATGAATACAACAGATGTTTTGTGCTTGAAACTGAGAATTTTCTGCAGATTTGATGAAGAAAAAAACATCCAAAGAGCTGCAGAGTTATGCAGGTAACTGATCTGCACATGGATGGGTCAGTATCTGGTCAAGCACCAGGCACTGCTACTACTAAAGATCCAGGGAATACTGTAGACACAGCAAATTTAATATATCCTGATTTCTAATACATAGAATTTTTTTTAAGGACTAGTTAGCCTGCATTTTCTGACCAATGCCCAAGTTTTAAGTCCTTAAAAATGTCCTTAACCTTGGATCAAAACATTGGAGAAGTAAGAACGTTTAGTTTTTTTTCAGTTAAACTAAGTCCATTTCTTACTTTCTAGGCAAAGTTATTAGTGAGGAAACCAAGGTACAGCAAACTCCACATCAGAAATCAAAATTCTGTCCTATCCATTTGCCATTTTTTTAATCCACTATAAAGCGCATTCCTCATTAAAATACAGTATTTTATTGTACTGTGCTACCGTAAAAATTTTCATCATATTTTCACACCAACTCAGTAACACTTGTTCTGCTTCTCTGGTTACTCTTTCACTCACCCAGTCACTGGTTCCTTCTGTAACAGTGTCCAAATGAAATGGAAAGAGATCCAGACAACTCTGAAAGCTGCCTGCACACACAGAGGCTGGAGAATTAGAGATACAACCTTTCTCCTACAGCCAGTGACACATTCTCAAAGCTGTTTTGGAAAACTAAGGTTAAAAAAGTTGCCTTCCACTGGCATTTTGTCCCTTTTGCTTGGTGGTTCTACCTAGTTCTGAGCACAGGTGCTTTTGGATTTGGAATCAGGAGTTGCAATCTTGAGACCCAAAGTGTATTAGAAATTATTATTAATAAATAAATCTGAAAGTGACCCAAGAGCCTGCAGGACACCAAGGAACATTTTCAAGACCACAATTTTCAGACATGAAGTTTTTAACATGACAGTAGTTCAGCAGCATTGTGGATCATCTACTGACAAATCTGAATTTGGCAAAACTGATGTGGGAATAAACGTCAGAGGTTAAAGGCAAAGCACTGGTACCTCTGGAGCAACCAAAGACACGAAGAGGGGTGGTACTCACTTATTTTCAGAATCAGCAGGCGGATGCTCCTCTCCCTCCGGCGTTTCCTCAGTTACAGCTGACTGATCCAATTCACTGCAATTACATAATGGGTGGAGTTTGGGCTTTTTACAAGTTCATCCCTCTTTAAAGCTACATGAGATTAACAATCAAGATCTATAGTGGATTTACTATTTTATTAAGGACTGGTGTTGCCTGTGCCTTTCAAATTCTATGCTTTTCACCCAACTAATGGTTTTCCCCAACTCTTCCTTGAACCCCTCCTGAAAGCCTCCCACTGTCCCTCTGACACAAAGTGGATTTGGGTATTAAAAAGTTTTCAACGTAATAATTGAATTTTTGTAATACAAAAAGCACGCTTAAGCTAATCTAAAAACTGTTCTAGTATCTAGTAAAAGAACTGTTCAAAGATCAGCACAAGACCTCCCAATCTAAACTTCCTCAAAATTCCAGTTTAACGGTGAAGCCATCTCTTAAGTTACAAGAAATTGCTCATTTTTTAATTCTGCAGAAGAGCAATAAAATTATCAAAATCAAAGGTCAAAAGGCAGGTAAATCTGTCCGTTCTGTAAGCCCTAATTAGGACTGATTAACACCCTGCTAATATTTTAGTGAGCAAGGACAAAGTACTCACGTGAGCTCGTCTTTGACGGTTCCCCAGTTGTGTGAGCCGCTGCCACCGCGCTTGTCCTCGTGCTTTAGGCCGCTGAAATGTGAATGTGAAACAGAACTAACAAAACTGAGTTAACATCATAGTGTCCAGACACAGAGATTCAAAGAGCAATTTGCAATTGCGTAAGAATTGTAAAGAAAAGTCAAAAAATATAGAAAAAGTTAAAGACTTACGATCTATCGCTGCCACTGTGTCTGTCAAATTCCCGTTTGCCACGGGAGTCAAACCCATCTCCTCGGCCCATCCCACGGCCGCGGCCACGGCCCCGGCCCAGTCCACCACGTCCACGCATGGGTCGGTCAATGATGGGCCTGGCGTGGACAGACAAAAGTGAGTGACTCACCCCCAAAAATCTACAGCATGGTTTTTACTGCTCTTGTCCTCTTTGTGAATTTTACTTACTTATTTTTCCTTTGTAACTGGGCCAAAGCTCTAGTTTCAAAACAGCCACTTGTACTCCCCATCCCTGGAAGTGGTTCAAGGCCAGGTTGGGGCTTGGCGCACCCTGGTCTAGTGTAAGGTGTTCCTGCCCATGGCAGGAGGTTGGAACTGGATCATCTTCAAGGTCCATTCCAACACAAACCATTCTGTGATTCTGAGATTTTAGAATCCAGAAACAAATGCTCGGGATTATTGTTTGTTTGCATCCTCTGGCATTAAGTTCCAAAATTTAGTGTTTGTATTCTTCTACATAACTGGCTGATACTTCAATTCCAACTTAAACTCACTTTTCTCCAATTTATTTTTAAAAGAATTTTAATTCCGGCTACTAAAATTTTAATATTTGAACATTACTTGAATTATGGATCCCTCCCAATACTTGAGCCACTTTAAATCTCACATTGGCCTAAGATGACTTCACTTCTTCCAGGTCTGAACCCACTGCAGCTGAGGTGTAAACACCTACATGGACAAACTTTTGCTGGCTTTGAGTCAGCTGTACAGATTAAAGGCACAGCTGTGACAGCAAACAAATCTCATCCTGTAGGAAACAGCTACACTTGAGTTCCTTTCCTGAGCTATCTGCTATAGATTTAGAGAGATATGGTGGATATCTTGATTTAAACCATACCTTCAGTTACCCCTATGAAGCTATTTATGTAGATCACTCCCAGTCTAAAACTTAAGTTTGCAAACAAAATCATGGAAAGGGAAAGAGAACTGTATGACATCTGCTCTTCTTTCGCATGACAAAAATTTAATCAATTTAATTATGATTCAATCAGCTTTTTTAACTTCACAGCAGAAAGCAGGCCCTGTCCTGTCAGAAGTAGGAAAGCTCCTTATCCTGCAAGATGAAACTTACTTATCGACAGAGAACTCTCCCCCTTCTCCCTTCTCCTCGGCGGGTTTCTCAAAGCGGCGTTCCCGGGGAGGTCGTCGTTCAGGTCTCCGGTCAATGGGTTTGCCATCACCCTGCTGCTGCTGCTGCTGCTGCTGATCAGGCCTCCTGCCAATCCTCCTTATCCCTGAAACATCAGGCCAGACACATCAACGGAATGTGGAGCTGCTCCGGGACAGATACCGACCCCCAGCACCCTAAAACAAGCTGCTTCTACATAGTCTGAGTAACTCCACCTTCATAAAAAAGTCACTGTAGAGCATCTCACTCTTCACACTTTTACTCAGGATTTCAATCTAATTGTGTTTGATTGAAAACACTGGTAAATCTGTGCTGAAATGACAAAGTCAACTTTCCAACAAGGATCAAGGTAAGCAAGATTTTTTTAGTATTTTTCTTTCTCTGAAAGGTCCTTTTCAGGTAAAAAAAAAGAGGGTTTTATTTTGATGAACACCAAAACAAAGTGAGCATCACCTCACTGGGTCCTAAGACAGTTAACCCTGTGCTCCCTAGGACAGTGACCCCGTGCTGTTCTAAAGACTGGACTCATGGATCTTGGAGGTCTTTTCCAACCTAAACCTGGGATTCTGTTCTTAGAAACTCTTTTGGACAGCAGTACAACCCAGGCAGGTCCACCTGTACCAGAGAGGTGCCATATGCATCCCAGTACTGCAGGTACTGAACTGGTGCCCCCATCCACACGGATCCTCCCAGTCCAACAGACATTCCCCGACAAAGATTCTCTTCCTTGCGCACTGCTTAAAATAGCTTAAGAATCCTGTGCCCTGGAGCTGCCCAGTGTCCTTCCTCCCTCCCTAGGCCTTCTGAAAGGGTTTTTATTTTAAATAAAAACCTCCCATGGGCACTCTCTTCTTCACTAAGCTATCTGAAGGATCTAACACAGTTTTCTTTTCCACTCAAGTGAAAGGCCTTGTTTACTCTTCTTTAGAAAGATCTGCACAAACATATTGCTGCTTTGTTATACCATTTTCTTGCCAAAACACTGGCTCAAGAACTATGAACTAGCTTTTAAATTAAAAGCTGATTTTTGAATATTTTTAAATAACTAAGTTCCTGCTTAACAAGCAATGTCAAATTTGGGTGGGGCTACAGAAGTTACAGTTGTAATGATATCCAAGCCAACACACCCAGATGAACAATGACTCCCTCACCTTACAAGCTGTACTTAACATGAAGTTTGCATGACATCCATAGTTTCCTAAGTATTCCTCACTCGCTGAGGAAACAAGGGGTTAATCTCCTCAGCCTGCACTTGGAAAAGGGCTCTCCAAGGAGGACAAGCATTCCATGTGAGGAGGGAAAGCAGGGAGAGGAGCAGGCCGGTGGCACAGAGGAGGTATGCTGCAGAACTGGAATGGAACAGCCATGGCTTTTGAATTTCCACTTCAACGCCCTGCGCTCACTCAGCAAAACCCGGTTCCTGCTGAAGCCTAACCCAAAATACAAGTTATTTCTCAGTATCACCAAGCTTTGAACTGCTAATTCACCAGTCAAATCACCTGCAGCTTCATGGAGTAGTGGAACACTTTTAAATACATTCGCAAAGGAAACAAACCTTGGCACCACGCACCTTTATAATGCCAGAAGTGCAAAAACAGTCACACACAAAAATAGACGTTTTCAAACTGGAAAGTGACTTTGTTTACCACACTGCTCCAGGGCCACTGCTACAACAGCAGCCCCGACTTTCTCTGTTTCATTACTATAATAAGCCAAGAAAATATTTATTTTTCACACTGTTCTTGAAAACAAGATGTGAAAACCATAAGGTAAACACGGCCTGCCAGCCCTGCCCAAACCCCTCAGTGTCCTGCTGCGGTGCCAAAGGCACTGCCATGTTCCAGGTGTACCTCGTGGGGGACACCACCAGAATCTACACCTGACCAACGCTTCCAGAGGACACTGGCTTAGCAAATTGTGAGTCGGGACAAATCCTTGCATCCTTCATACTGAAAACGCTCTCGAGTGTTAGGGAACAAGAGATCCATAAGCAAAGACAATTACAACATAGTTCCTAAATTTGTCTTTTTACAAGGTGTTTTCAAATAACATTTAGAAGACCCAGTTTCCAAAACAATTATATTAAAACTATTTCTTTCTCAAAAAGCATAAAACACAGTGGAGAATCATTTTGCAACCCAAATGATGAAGCATTAAGATGCTTTCACGTAACATCAAGATTTCTGAAAAGCTCGTTTAAACTGCAGTTAACATGTTATTCCCTCACCCCCACATCACCTGCTGTCACACTTTGCTGCATTTCAAGGATTCCTTTTAATCCTAGTCCTGATCCACCTGACGAGCGCTGAAGTTTGGGCGCGGTACAACATGGGCTGAGGACGCCATGCGTCCACATCTATCCCTTTCCATGCGTGGCCCTTCCTTTAACCTATTTGTACCAGGATTTCTTTTTCCCAAAGTTTCCCGTGTGGGATGTCTTAGGGATTTACACAAACAGAGCTGAGAATCCATACGAGCTATTATTTAAATATATGAAGACATGCAGATGATTGCTATCGATGCTGTTCCATAGAAAAACGACCCGAGTGGATTTTGGAAAGCCCAGGGACTGCCAGATATCCCGTCAAATCCGCTGGGCCACCCAAAACACGATTCAAGTTCAAGATGCCAGGTCGGACGGGATTTGGAGCAACCTGGTCTGGTGGAAAGTGTCCCTGCACATGGCAGGGTGGTGGAACGAGATAACCTTTCAGGTCCTTTTCAAACCAAACGATTCCAGGATTCCATGCGCTGGTTCAGATTGCACACTAGGAAGAAATTATTCCCTGTGAGGGTGGTGAGGCCCTGGCACAGGTTGCCCAGAGAAACTGTGGCTGCCCCATCCCTGAGGTGTCCAAGGCCAGGCTGGACGAGGCTTGGAGCAACCTGGGATAGTGGAAGGTCTCTCTGCCCATGGCAAGGGATTGGAACAGGATGAGCTTTAAGGCCTCTCCCAGCCCGAACCACTCCACGATCCTATACACTGCCAAGATTTCCCATTTCACGTCAGCCCTCTCCCTCCGCCGGGCCCGGGCCAGCCCCGGGCGCCCCCCGCACGCCCGACTCCATTTTGCGCGGGACACGTGTGGCCGGGCGGGCCCGCGGCCGCCGCTCCCGCTCCCTCTGCCCGGGCGGGCTCCCGGGCGGCTCCGCCATGCGCGGCCCCACGTGCGGCCCGGCCCTGCCCAGGCCCCCTTTGTGCGGGCCGGGCCGCTCTCCCTTCCCCGCGGCCCCCGGCCCCGCTCACCCTCCTTCCGTAGCGGCGCTCCGGGCTGGCCCCCGCCGTCCTCCCGGCGGTCCCCGCCGGCGAAGGGCGGCAGCGGGTTCTTGCGCTCCTTCTGCGACTCCCTGCGCAGCTGCTTAGCCGCGCTACCCGCGCCGCCGCCCGCCTGGCCCGCGCCACCGGCCCCACCGGAGGAGCCGCTCTGCGCGCCCGCCGGGCCGCGGGCCCCACCGCCCGCTTGGCTCCCGCCGCCGCCGCCGCCGCTCTCCTTCCTCCGGCTCTCCGCCGCGCGCAGCACCTCGAAAGGGTCGGACTCGTCATCGAAGAGCTGGTCGAAGCGGTTGGTGACGACGCACCCGAAGCCCTCCTGCAGGTGTCCGGGCATGATGGGCCCCCGTCGGCGGGATCCTGCGCGGATGCTACCGGGGCCCCCCGCGCCCTGCTCGCTGCCGCACAAGATGGCGGGCCCTGGGCAGACGCGCTTCTCTTCCGGCGCGGCCGCATCCGGGCCCCTCAGCGGGGCGGGCGCTGCAGCGCCGCCCGCGGCCGCGCCGGGAACTGCGCGCGCTTTGTGTGCGAGCCGGGAGCGGGGTTTCCCGCCGCGGGCTGTACCACTTGCGGGGAGGGGGGAAACTGGGTCGACGGGGCCGGCGGGGGGGGGGCGCGGGGCGGGGCGCCCCCCCCGCCTGCCCCGTCGACCCCCGCGCCTCGCGCATGGATGGTCCCTCCCGTTTCCCTCACAAATAAACCCGAAATTAGATACTAATGTACATGAAAATATTATAATGTATTCATAAAGCTGTGTCTCAGTAGATCGATAGATTGACGTGTGATTGTATCACTACAATAATATTAATATGGAAACACTGATATATTAATATGCAATATGCAGTATAACGATATTAATGTAAAATATTCGTTACATAATATATATGATGTATATTATCATACACTATATATTATAATCGATACAATAATATACTATATATTGCATATGATAACATATGGTAATATATGATATATATTTATGCTATATGTTGTATAAAAACATATGAATACTAATAGACAGATGTAATTATATTATATGTGATTTTATATATAATTATATAGATGATTACATTGACAATTATCATTGATACTATAATATACTATATATTGCATATGATAATATATGGTAATATATGATATATATTCATGCTGCATGTTGTATATTAATATGTTAATACTAATAGATGGATATAATTATATTATATATGACTTTATATATAATTACATCAATGATAGTATAGGATAATCTCCTACATATCCTATATACACTGTATATATATCAAAATGTACTATATATGATAATATACTATATATTATCATTGATACAATAATATATTATATATTGCATTTGATAATATATGGTAATATATGATATATATATATGCTATATGTTATATATTAATGTGTTAATACTAATAGATTGATATAATTATATATATGATTATCGATATAGTGTATGGTTCTATGCCTTATATATAATACAGTACGTAATGAGTATTTTACATTAATATCTTTATACTGCATATTGCATATTAATATATCAGTGTTTCCATATTAATGTTATTCTACTGATACAATTACACGCTAATAGACCGATCCACTGAGACACCGGTATATGAATATATTATAATATTTTCATATATATTACTATCCAGTTATAGCCAGAGTGGATTACGTTAAGAGATTAAAACATATTAAACAGGCACAGATTTGACATGTTCTTCAAAACATGATTTCCTATGCTCACGGTTTATATCTCTAAATTGTAATTAAATTAAAATCGTAACAGAATTTCACACTTCCATGGACATTTCTACTCATCTAATTAGCTGATCTACGCAATTACCAGGCACTATCAAGTTAATGTGATAAATATTAATATATATTAACATATTAATATATTAATATACCTATATATTAATATAAACCATATACCATTATATATTTTTATATAGTATTATCTAGTTATAGCCAGAGGGGGATATATCAAGACATTAAAACATATTAAACAGGCACAGATTTGACATGTCCATGAAAACACAATTTGAATGTTCACACTTTATATCTGTAATTTTTCAGAACCTTTGGTGACATATTATAAAATTAACTTTGTGCTCAGCAAGGATAATATTTCTAATATTTGCTTTGCCTGCTCCAAGAAGCTCGAAATAATTGCTTTAAAAAGTAATTTAATTACATTTGTTCAGTTTTTGAATGTGTGTTGCTCATAAATTGAAAACTCCAAAACCAACTGGTTTGAAAAACTCCATAGTTTAGTTTTTTTGGGAGAAACTGAAAATTATGTTGGTTGCTTGGATTGTTCTTCATCAGGTTTCCCTGCAATCCCACAGCTCTTTGCTGGGAAGGTCTTCGAGGAAACCCCTCCTGCGGTGGATCTGAGGGGGATTAGAGCAGCTCACCCCCTTCTTGGGATATTAATAATCACCACAAATTACACCCTAAGAACTCAAAACATTGTTTTCTCAAAGCCTTTTTGCTTTTGGGATGAATCAAATTCCACCAAACAACACTTAATTAAAACTCTTGGTGTTTATAATGCAGGTATTTCCAGGAAAAGCCTTGATGCCCAGTCACACACTCTAAGGCCATGTTGCATCACACACATTTGATGAATAAAATCCAAACATTTCCCACTCGGATCCCTGACGTGCTCCTCGCCAGATGGCACAGGCAGCTTTAAAGGAGGAGATTTGCTCACAGAAATGGACTTCTTGGCTGCCTGTCTCCGAGGCTTGGGATTTGTCACTCTGAGGGAAGACAGAGCTTCTCCCTTTTGTTGCTTTGAAAGGACTGTGCATGTTCAGCTCCCCTGTGCTGCACTCAAAGCTGGTGTACGTTCAATATTCAAAAAAATTTCCAAATGCTCTCCAAACGCTGGCAAAATTTCCTACCAGAGAATCATTCATGCATGGTCATCACTACCTAATCAGTCCTGAAGATCTGAACCGCAGACAACCATTGCTTGTGAATTAAATAGCCAAGGACTATTAACTCAGCACTTCTGCTCCTAATCAGAGACATACTTTTATATTACGTCTTCCAAATCCCCAAAACCCCACATGTGAGTCTCAGGGCAGCCATCTCATTAGTGCTGCTGCTGATTTCACTCATTAGGCACCAGCAGACAGTGAGGGAGTAATTAAAAAATCCACATAACTCTTCCAGGAGCTGCCACGGAGAGCTGGACTGGCTGCTGCCATCCTCCTGCACGATAGACACTTGTGTTCTCCTTTCCCACTGGAGTAAAACCAGCATTTCCACGGGCCAAAGGAGCAGCTTGCTGTGCTATTTGTGGCTGGGACACACAGAGATCCTTGGCCAAAGCTGGCCTATAGATAACCTGCCTCAGGAGCTGCTCCCAGGCTGCTGCCCAAAAGAGGCCTGGAGAGCTCTTGGACACGCTACACTTCTCTGCTATTCCCAAGCTTTACCAGCAGCTGTCGGCTGCCTGCTTAATAAGCAGGAATAGGAAATACAGCAAGTTCAGGACACAGGGAAAAGTATTCATCTGGGTCCTTGCTCCATTCCCAAAACCTGATTTTTCTAATTTTTAACTTCATAAATTTTTTTTGCAGGTTTTCTCCAGATGTATGTGGTACTTTGCTGTCAGAATGGATGGTATATGGACAAGGAGGGTTTTTTTTTGAGATGGATTTTTTCCTAGCTTGGACTCGATGTCTTTTCCAACCTTAAAGATTCTATGATTCTGGGCCATAGGAAATACAGGGATTTCTTGTATAGAAAATATTTGCTTCCAACTAAAGCCAAGTATGGCCACAACTTCTGAGTAAGAAAAAATTCAAGTGCATAACAAAGAAATTTAGCAACTTCTTGTCCAGTTTGCATCCAGACATGGATCCCTTATGAGAAGAACTCCCAGAATTAACCACTACACAGGGAGACAGCACGAATGAGCAGTAGTCAGAGATGACAAGGAGATACACGATCTGCACCACACAGCTTAATCCTCCCACATATCCTGCTCATTTCAGCACAGCACTATATTTTTTTTTAATCTGCCAGAAAACCCAGCAGTTTCATTATGAGGAGGGCAGTAAACATGTGAATAACAACTGTATTTATACAGTAAGTACGTGCAGTAAAACTAACCACCCCCAGTACTGCTCTGTGCTTTTAAATGTGCACAGACAAGTGAAGCAAATCATGCAGACACAAAACTTGGCATGTAAATTAAATCAGACTAATTGAGCTCTGCCTGAACTTTCTTCCCTTGAATCCTAAACAACCTGCTGAGCAAGTGTTCTTCCTTACAGCAGTCAAAGTAAGAGGTATTTTTAGTCTGAAAAACCAGCACTGGAGCAATACAAAGCAGAAGGTTGGGTAGACCAACCACGAGGTATGGACTCATAAAATCACAAAATGGTTTGGGTTAGAAGGGACCCAAAACTCATTTTGTTCCAACCCTCTGCCATGTCCAGGGACACCTTCCACTAGACCAGGTTGCTCCAACATGGCCTTGAACACTTCCAGGGATGGGTACACAGGAGCCTCCTCAGCTGCAGCAATCAAACAGTGCCCTTGGGAACAGCCCTGGAGGACAGAAGCTTTGCTGCCTTCCTAATTTGAAAAGATGGAGAAGAGGAGAAAAAAATGTTTCCTCTTCCTAAAAGGCTCAGCAGAGCTCAGGGGCACTGGGATCTGGGTGCTGTGGGACCTAGAGGAACTTCCCTCCCAGCACCCACCACCACTGAGCTCAGCTCCCTGAGGGCACTGAGCCCCTCCAGGTGCCACCTCCAGCATCCACGGCAGCTCTTCCCAGGGTTATTATTGGGAGAAATTAGGGATGAAAAACAGAAGGTGTTTCCATGAAACAGCCACCAGCCATGTGCAGCAGGCTGGGAACACTGGGACATGCCCAGGTGAAACCCGCTGGGCCGGCTGGTAACTGAGCCAAAAGCTGCTCCTCCCTTCCAGCTAAAGCTGCCTCCTGCTTCCATGGGCAGGTTCCTGTCCCGGCTGCCTCTACCATGGCCGCTTTCTGCCTGCTGCCACCTCCCACGTGCCACTGTCACCACTGCTGTGCCGACACAGCGCCTGCAGGAATGCACCAGCAACTGGAGCAGGGCCCCAGCCTGCCTGGAAAAAAGCAAAGGTGCTGTGTTTTCCCCCTGTGTTATTTCATTTCAGGCTGGCTGGGTTTGTCCCACGGTGGGTGGCAAGAAAGGGAACACGTTAAACCGCGATTGCAGCCCAGTGCAGGGCAGCCCGTGGTTGTGTGTTCTGTGTTGGGAGAGGTGTTTCCTCCACTCTTTCTCCATTGCCTTTCTTGGAGCAGCTCAGTCTCCTGCTCCAGGCTCACTGCTGACCCTGACTCACAGCCATGGGCTTTGGTGCTGAGGGAATCAAGTCCCCATGGGGTCATGCCACCCTGAGAGGGAATTTGGGGATGCCGGTGATG